AAATTAAGAAAACAAACTTAACAAAAAGAAATCTCAACACCTTTTTACAAAGTTACGTTAAAATATTTGTATTTAGATATAGTTTTGCCAAAGATTTTATATATACAATTCGAAATATATTTTTTTAATTGAAAATTTTACTATGGTATGTAAAATCTGAAAACGTAACTTTTTAAGAATGCAGTAAAGATTGAAAGACGTTATTAATGAAAAAACATTTATTATTGAGCGTTAAATATGTATATGTTATTCTATACTATTTTTAAAATCAAAAATTGTGTTCTGAAAGTTTAGCCTTTTACAATTATACTGTAGGACCATTTCATCGGCTTAAAAAAATCGTAATAATCATCCAAAAAGTAAAAAGATATATATATATATAAGTAAAAAGATATATATATAAAGGTTCTGGATCTGTCCGAATCTGAAATCCGGACAATAGCTGTATATAAGAACGGGGATAAATCGAATTATGTACACATACAGTAGATAAAGAAGAACTCGGATGCGGTATATAAAAATTTAATCTGGTTCGTTATAACCTGGGTTCAGTAAAAGTAGGTTCGGTAATAATCTGGTTCGTTATAACCCAAGTTCAGTAAAAGTAGGTTCGGTATATCCAGAGTCGACTGTATTAAAATTGAAACACATTATTAATCAACCACATTTCATATTTTTCATTTTATTCCTTACACCTTTTCTTGTTATATAACTATTGTCAGATCAAATAAATTTCAACATATGCCTCCAACTAAAAAAGTAATTGGACCATGCGTTTGCATATTCAAAAATTGATTAAGGTTCTTTGTTTCGTACTATTCCATTGGCTTTTGAAAAAGCACTAAATGTATAGTTTATTTAGAAAAGTAAGTGTTTACAATTTACTTTAGACAACATTCTTTGTAATAAGTGCTATTGCTTAATATTGAACACGCATGAATAAAAATCTACTAATGACTGAATAACAATAAATCGAAACAATATAAACAATATAAAAATTTATTATTGTACTAGACGTATGTTTGATTTTATTGGATGATCGACCACTCACTGTCCCGTGCTGTCATGTGCCAGCGACCACAAATTCCTTGGTATGCATCTATGCATCCAATATAGGCTGACTTTCTAGTGATTAGCCAATTTTATTAAATTGAATTTATACAGTTTAGAGTATTTTTATCCCTCTAACATAAGTCGTTTTTTTTTAAAAATGTAAATGTTGTTTTTTAATACTACAGAAAACTCTACACAAACGAAGCTTTACCTAAGTATCTTGTATATTTCTAAGACTCACTTTACCTAGATATACTTTACCTAGGTATACCTTACTTAGAGACGGTTCTTAAGCTAGTAATGTGTAATAAATATATGCGTTAAAGTTTCTAACTACTCACAAAAGCGTAACTAGCATGTTTGAGAGAAGATCTTAAAAGCAATTGCCCGAAGCTCATAGGCAGAAATTCGTCTGATTGATTAATAGATTAAATACGTTTTTAAAAAATAACGGAAAGAACATTCGAATACCTATATTCAATTAAAATTAATCCCAAATAATCCCAATATTTAGTAAGTTTTATTAGAAACGAAGTTTATAAGAGATCTAAGGTAGTTGAGTCGTAATTCAAATACACGAAGGCATTTCAGTGTTAAAATAAAGAAAGAACGGCATGAAACTAAGATCCGGTACTTTGTAAAAGAGGTACAAAACGTTTCTAAATAACGGTTATGCAAAGAACCGGGTAAAAGGTTAAGTAAACTGTATCTTATATTCTTTAAAATACTGTATAAAAATTTTTTTTATAACAAATTGTTGTTTTTATAAATTAAGATTTATTTTATTAACTGTGCTTTAGACCCAGACTCTTCTAGTTTTATTTTACTAATTTATTTTACTATTTTTAATTGGTATTCATATATATTTATTATATTTTTCATATCTCTTACACTTACTATATTATACTTTTAGATTAATATCCATCTTGAAGAGGCCTAATATTTATTTTTATAAATACTATTAATTTTGTTAAACCCAGATCTATATACTTAATTGATTATAAGGTGAAAACCCAGTTGTTATTATATTGTATAGACTATATGATGTGCTAATTTCTGTTTATGTAGATAATATCTTGATATGTTATTTCAAACATACTTGGATGTTTTAGGAGATACTTTGAATTGTTAATATTTTTTTAAAAACTGATTAAACAAATAACACTAAAAAAATAATAATAGGATATAAAAAATGCAATTTATAATTTCATATATAATTTGCCTTTGATATAAAATAATATTACTTAAAAATTGTTAAAAAACTAATAAACAATTCAATCATTCTTTAATATCATTCTTTAATCTCTCTCTCAATAATCTTCTTAGAATTTTACCAGACTCACTCTTTGGAATTTTATCAATAATAAATACACCACCTCCTAACTTCTTATGCGGTACAACCTTTTCATCTACAAAACATTGAATTTCTTTCGCTAAAGCTGTTGATTGCTCATGTCCACTTTTAATTGTGATATACGCTACAGGAATTTCAGAAGCTTCTTCTTCAGAATAATATCCTATTATTGCGGCATCTGATACAGCATCATGTGTGAGCAGAACCGCTTCTAGTTCAGCAGGTGCAACTTCCAAAACCTATAAATTTAATTTTATTGTTAATCAAAATTAACATATACAAAATGGTAATTATTGTAATTATATTTTGTATTTGATTAATTCTTTTTTTCGATCAACAATAAAATAGTTTCCTTTATAAAAAATAAAAATTTATAATTATAATTATATATTAGCAAATATAGCATTTAAGTTTTAATCAGTAATAAAGTACTTTGTTCATCAACAGATACAATATCTTCCGTGTTAAAGAATCCGTCTTTGTCGAAGACAGCATCTGTAGCTTCTTTATTATTAAGATAACCCTATTTAAAAGGTATAAGATTTTTAATACAAATAGCATGATCGCAGTAATTTGTATAATAGTTATACTAAATACCTTCATAATATTTAGACCATGAACCCACAATTCTCCAGGTTCATTGTAACCCAATTCTAAATGCAAAAATAGCAAATTTTATTTGGATTTTAATTTTATTAAATTTTATATATATAAGGGAAATTTAATATATAAAATTTATAAAAATTTGGTTTGTGACTTAGGTTGATATTAACGAAGTTGATATTAATGAGGGTTTTCTATATATATAGTTACCATGACCATCTTCTGATAATATTTTAGCTTTCACATTTGGAACAAGAATCCCAATAGAACCTATTAAAAAAGTGTTATTTTAGCAAACAATAATATACTCCTTATTATAAAGTAAGCACTCCATTTAATTACATAATACCTGGAACTGTATTCATTGTTCTGTCAGGATAATGTAGTACAGGAGATGTTTCAGTAAGGCCTTTATTATGGCAAATAAATAATAGAGAATAATTTATCATAATGTAAGTAAAAAAAAAATTATTGTTTAGAATGAAAATTAAGGAGTTATACTTGCTCAAACGATCTAATGATAAAGATTTTTACCATAAGCTTGCGTAATTGGTATTTTATACATTTCATAAAATTTTTTTCCAATTTATCATCTAACGGAGCTGCCCCATATCGACACTTGATAAGTCAAATTGTTGAGCCAATGGATCATTGACAAATTTGAGTATAATTGGTGGAACAGCATAAATATGGTTAACTTCATATTTTTGAATTGATCCACAATATGTCTCCACACTAAAGTTTGGAAGAATGACTGTAGTAGCACCCTATAATATTAATGCATAGCTCCTAAATTAAATTGACAATATACTGATAAAACGTTATAAATATAGAAAACTTACACAAATTAAGGTTATATGAAGAATAGTCAACGCATAAATGTGAAAAAACGGCTATATTTTAAAGCAATAATGATAAATTACTCTAAATAATTATTCAGAATTTGTAAGTATCTTAAAAGGATTTCTCTTATATGGCTTACCAAAACACCCGTAGTTATACTATGTGGACCAAGTTTACAATCTGCGATAATTAATTGAGCTAAATTAGCAGCTATGTTTGTATGAGTGAGTTCGACACCCCTTGGCTTTCCGGTTGTTCCTGAACTATAAGGCAAATAAGCAGTTGTTGTTTTTGTTTCTTCAGGAGTATAAGATACTGGTTCAATTTCACGATCACCGATTAAAATTGAACGATAAGGTTTATATCCATTTATTTCTTTATCACCAAACAATAATACTCTAGAGGCGGGGATCTTTGCATTGATTGAAGCTTCTATAGCGGACTTCAAGAAATGCTGGATGCACGATCAGAACCGATGCACCTGAATCGGTTAGTTGATATGATAATTCAGTAGCTTTATTTTTTGAATTAGCCATTGTTACTTTGTCTCCTGTAGATTCATTTAACAATAAGTAATTTAGAATTGAAACCATTTTAATATCTTATTAATTGTCGCAGCTGATGCTGAAAACGGCTGATGCTGAAATTCGGATCTATTTTGATATGAATTTTTTAAAATTTTTTGGGGTGTTTTTTCCCGCTTTTTTTTTATAGTTGAGTTAGTGTTTAGGGTTAGAATTGATAATTAACAAGTATATGTGGATTTTAGCAGGACTTATATTTTTAAATCGAGACCCCAAATTTCAGCTTCAGCCGTTTTCAGCATCAGCTGCGACATTAATTAATACTCCCGTGATCTTGATATAGTGATCGGGGTATTATATACTATATAGGTGACGACAAGAGAAAACCAGACTCCGTAATACGTATAAATTCTACATGGAAAATCTAGTTTTTCCTTTGCATCACCTATAGAAGTTCTAGACTCTTCGCAACTTACATTATTGAAGTCGATAATTTAGGAAATATTTTTACCTAGTTTCTGCAAGAACGAGAAATTTAAAGAAAAACATTAATCCTTATAGAGATAAAATCAACAGTTTCTGCAGTTAGTGTTCCGATTAATCAACTAATCGATGATTAATCGGTTAACCGATTACAGCTGTTTTCATAATTCCTGGACACTTGTAAAAAATTAGCGAATGATTTTTTCGGCCGATCCGATTAAGTTATTATTTGTGTAATTTTTCGGTAACATAATTTGTAAGAAACGTGATCATACGTTCATATGATTGGTTGGATCATATGTACATCGATTTGATTAGTGAACTTTATGCAGAATCTACCGTTGTTCAATAATGCTAGGTACGTGTGAAATTTACATGGAATCCATGTTACTGAAACTTACGTGAAATTACATGTATTGTAAGTTCGTAAAATGTAATTTTCAACCCTATACGTACGTACGTACGTACCAATTTTTATTGCCGAAACAATAACCGGATCGGCCGAAAAATCATTCAGCTAATTTTTACAAGTGTCCCAGGAATTATGAAAACAGCTGTAACCCCGATTTTTTTTTTATTATGTGTACGACGGGATATTGTGAAATCCGGGTAGTTATTACAAAAATTTAAAGTTTACATTGATGTCTTTACGATTTAAAAAAAAACTATTTTAACGGCTAAAAAAAATTTTAATTTTACATTTAGTAAGATTAAATTTTAAACTTTACATTTGGTAAGATTAAAATTTAAACCATTATAGAGAATATTTTAAATATCACAACCTGTTGAGTTGCTTGCGAAACAGGTAAAGAAGTAAATGAGGGTCGAGATCGAAATCAGGTAAATAAATTGACCTGATCTTTATTTTAATTATAATTTTTATCAACATTTCGTTGTATTTTGTTGTCTTGTTCATTGTCGATTTCGTTATTTTTACAATTGATTTTATCATCACCGCTGTTTTCATTACTTTCTTCGGCTTCATTACTATTCTTTTACGGGTTTTCGATTCTTTACGAATTTTGGATAAGTTGAATAAAAATCGTGAACTTTGATAATAAATGATTTTCTCAGTAACAGTATGCTTAAAGGAAAAAAAGATATTTAAATTCTTAATTTAATATTTTATGTAAATTTTTAATTACGTACGAGCCAATAACTATTTCATCATGTGAGAGGTCAGGGTATTAATTAATAATAGTGAATTGATCCCGGGTAGTGATAACGGAAATACATGACTGATTCAGTCATGTATTTCCGTTATCACTACCCGGGATCAATTCACTAATACCAAACGACCCAAGATTATACTTGCTGGCAAAACCCGGACAAATTCCAAATAATAAAAAAACAATTGCTATCTATAAAAAATCAAATCAA